AAAAAAAAAAAAAAAAAAAGACGCACGCTACCGGTCACGATGCCGGAATGCTGGAAACCGAAATTCAACCTTCAATTGCGTACAAAGTCACAATGCCGACGGGACGTCCCAGGCGCCCACCTGCCCCAAAACAAGCTTGCTCTCCCAACCTAAATAACCATCTTCAGTATATACTATTCCCTCTTCTTCCTCTATTCTTGTAAGCCTACTATCTTGTCGGGTTCGTTATCGACGGAGGCTAACGGCAGTGTCGGAATAAGCAGCGGAGATTGATGTGTTTAGTGCATGCGGGCTGACAAGAATTTACGGAAAACCCTCGCAGCATGCCATGGGTGGTGCCCCTAAATGCCGGGCTGCAGGGTCGATAGCAAAAGCACCGAGGTGCAACTCGTTGCTTATAAACACCCGCCCCCCACCACTTTGCTTACCCTCTAGTGATTCCAATGCTGGTGGTGCCCAAGAAGATCCGCAGAGCCTACGAACTTTACTACTACCACCTCCCGCACGAGCTGTGCACGCCCGCCGAGCAGAAGGTGATGGACTTCATCGTCGTGTGCATTTTGGCGTTGATGGTGTACTACTTCCGCCGCGTCCCCGTGTGGGTGATGGAGCAGCTTGCTGGGCTTGCCACCGTGCGGGTGGTGATGGAGCTGTTCAAGAAACCGGTGGTGCTGCTGGTGCTGCTGGTGGGTGTCTCGTACTCGCAACTATAAGCAGTCGCACACCCGGCTAGCGCACTAGTCATAACAAAAATATGGTTGCTCCTCGGAAAAAGACTGCCACGAAAAAAACTACGACGATAATTGCCCGCGGGCAATCAATACCCTATTTAATCTCCACCCGTCACAGGACGGCTTAATACGTATTTACGAATAATGATCGATGAACAAATCTGGATTAAACTGAGTAATTTATCCAAAAAGGTCCCATCGCTCGACTTTGAGCGAGCCCACGACCTGTTTAAAGAGAGCGTACACGGGGTCGATCACGACGCTATCGCCAGCTTGGGAGTTGGCCACGGGGACGTTCAACGTCACGAGGAAGTCGGTGGCCACGTTGGTGAGCCGGATCAACCCGATGAGGGTGACGATATACGGCGGCGCCCCGGCCTCGGTGGCGTCGCGGCGGCGGTTGGAGAACTCGATGAGCGAGAGCTTACACGCCACCTTTTGGCCATTGACGTCGATATCAGTAACGACGTCTTCCAAGTAGCGGTTGGTGGGGTTCTCGTCGGTGATGTCGGCGATGTGGTGGCCCATTATCGTGTCGTAGTCGTCGCCATCGACAAGCTCCAAAAGGTCAAAGATCAAGCTGCGGTCCCAGAGCACCAGCTCCGGGTGCGAGAACACAAACACCTCCTGGGTGTCGGGGACCTCGCGCACCTTCAGCGCGTCGACGGCGTCGTCGGGGAGGGCGACGGTGATGGCGCCGCCATAAAGAGGAGCCATTGTTGCAGGGTAATTGTTCAGTAGTAGTGCGGAGTGCTTCTCTCCGCGCACCTAATAAAGGTCTCGAAAGAGGCTCGTATTTTCAGCCGTGGACGCCATTGAGGATACTTGTCAAGTCTGTTAGAGAATCTAGTTTCACAATCCATTGATGCTGGAAAACTGAAATAGTCGAGATTGGTGTTGGTGTCGGATTGTGGGGCGGGGAGGCTCGTATTATTTGGCCACCGACATTCGCGTCGATACGAATAAAATGGGCTTATCAGAGAGACAGACGTGTCACCACAAAAACATGTCGCGACGCCGACACAAACGACACTCGTATGACAAATGGCTTGGACTGGGGTGAGACGATATTCGCATTGGATAGAGTAAACGTTGATGAATACGTGGTAGCCTCACTATTCTTAGCCGCCACGCTGTCGCCCTGTTTACACTTTGTGCGCTTAGATCACCGCAAGATCGGGATACCATTAAGTTCTAAATTAGGTCCTTAATCAAACGAAATTAAACCAGATAGTGATACAACCAAATACCACACCTGAAACTAACACTTAAACATGATTTACCTCAATCAGAATACTCCATTTTACCTGACAGTTTCAAATCACTACATCACCACCACCCTCCCTTTGGGTGCGGAAATTTTCGCGCGAGGGACGAACACGGCGGGCGATGAAGAACCAACGGAAGCGGCCGATCCTCGTCGGCCTCCTCGTGCTCGTGGTGCTCGGCGTGGTGCTACGGTTGACCACTTCAAAGGCGCTGAGCAAGCAGCTCCAAGAACTCTTCCAGCACGACGACAACTTGATCTCAAAGATGGTGAACCGCGAGCTGACGAAAAACCACGATGAGGTGTTGGCGAAGATCGATAAGCTTTTCAACAAGATCATGACCGAGCAGGACAAGCGGTTGACGCGGCTCGAGCGCCAGAACCAGCTTTTGTTGGACGAGGTGCGCTTGCTTAAGCTGCCGCCGGAAAAGGGCACGTTGCGGGAACGGTTGACGTACCTCTTCCCCTACGACCCGCTGGTGAAGTTCCCCGCCTACGTGTGGCAGCTGTGGAAGCACGGGTTGAACGACGACCGCTTCGACCAGCAGTACAAGGACGGCGAGGCCCAGTGGGCGTGGAAAAACCCCGGTTTCGTCCACGAGCTCTTTAACGACGACACCGCCCACACCATGATCAAGTACTTGTACCGCCAGGTGCCTGAAGTGGTGCAAACCTATGAAAAATTGCCTGAGGTCATTCTCAAGATGGACTTCTTCCGCTACCTCATTCTCTTCGCTAAGGGCGGGGTGTACGCCGACATCGACACCTACCCGCTCCAGCCGATCCCCAACTGGATCCCCGAGAACGTCCTGCCCGACGAGTTGGGGATGATCTTGCTGGTGGAGCTGGAGAACAACGCCGCCAACTGGAAGGAGGACTCGCACCGCCGGTTGCAGTTTGGCCAGTTTGTTCTCCAGGCGAAGCCCGGCCACCCGGTGCTCCGCGAGATCATCGCCCGCATCATCGAGCAAACCATCCGCAAGCTGAACAGCTTGCTGAGCGACGAGCGGTTGCGGTTACCCGGCCACGCCAACGACAAGCAGTTGGAGATCCTGAAGTGGACGGGGGCGGGGGTATGGACCGACGTCGTGTTCCACTACTTCAACGACTGGGTCCAGTCGCTGGTGTTCCAGCTGGTGAGCTGGAAGGACTTCCGCGGCCTCAAGAAGCCCAAGCTCGTCTCCGACGTGTTGGTGATGCCCATCAAGCTGTTTGCCCTGGACCACGCCATCCCCAAGGACGGCAAGATCGAGGACCCGCTCGCGTTTGTCAAGCACTACTCGGCCGAGATCTGGAAGAACGCGTAGACGTGTACGGATGTGTTAATAGAATAAATAAGGTTAGGGAGTTACGTAGTCAACCCTCTGTGGATAAGAGGGTTACTTGCTCTGTCGCTTGCCGACGCGCCCCTTCTTTACCCGGCGGTGGTGGGGGAGGTTAAGCAGCTTCGCCCGCGTGGCGATCGTGTCCAGCGGCGGCTGCGGGTTCACGGGCTTCGTCTCCGCCACTAGGGGGATGACGTCGGCGGCTCTAGTACCGATCGTCGACACCACGAGCTTGTCGAAGTCAACGACAACATCGTCTATGATATCGCTGATGTCGACATCACGAATGGCGGCGGTGACGTCGCGGCGCCACTTCGCCAGCGTGGGGCCGCGCCCGTACTGGATGGTAACATGGAAACAGAAATCGTCCGTAGTCACCCCGACATTGCCCTCAAACTGTTTAGCGGTCGCCTCAATCGTCTTTTGCAACTGGCAGAACACTGGTTGCTGGCTTAGTTCAAGGGCAATGAACGACGTTTGCGTGGTAGGCCGATAGAAGTACAGCGCTTGGGGGAGCACGGGGACGTTAACCGAGGGCTTGGCGAGGTTGTCGACGCCTAGCATCGCTGCGAGCTTAGCTGCCAGAGCTGCTCGTTCCGGGAGAATCCCTATAAGGCCAGGGTCGATGGCGACTTCGTCCATGAGCGCGTGGCGGAGACGGGCCTGGAATTGGGGTAAACGGTAGGGCGGGAACAGGATATTCTGGGTCAATGAGATGTGGTAGCCCCAGATCTGGTCCAGCTCGTGGGTGGGGCGCCATTGGAGGTGCTGGAGCTGGGGGAGCTGCGTGAATAGTCGGTGGCTGGCGCGTTTAAGTTTGGCGACGGTGGCGTGGCTCGGCGTCCACTGGAGCAAGCAGAACACCTGTTTGCGGTGGTTGATCATCTCCTCGTAGTTCTGCAGGAAAAGATGGAGGTCGGCGACGGCGTCGTCGGCGGCGGCGGCGGCGGAATGGTCGCTGTCGGAATCGCCCGAGGAGTACTCGTGGATGAGATCCATGCGCCCCGCAAAAGGTAGGCGTCACTAACTTTTAGGGCGAAATGTAGGAACTTTAGTTGACTAACTTGGATAAATAGATGATACCAGCAAATACACCTTCGGGAATTGTTTAATTTTTGGGTAACTAAATCTTTGATGTTTACGGATCATTCATTATTCGGAAGTGATCATGCGAATTAAGGAGGGTGAATAGTGAGAGACCAGACTCAGTTTAAATTCAAGCAAGACTAGGGATTAGAGAATTGAACCAAGTAGACGAAAGAGTAATTTTACCACTTCAAACACAAGCTTTTGGTTGATGGAATTAGATCAGTAATCAATGCCTCTCTACCTAGGCTCCATTGATTAGAATCAATCACCACTTTGATCCCACAACCAGGGCTTGGGAAATCATCAAATTAGTACTCACACCCATCACCTTCAGCTTACTTCTACAGATTCATCCACCATTGGTCAGTATTCTTCGACCCCTACAGTAACTACTTATCACCGTCGGCAACAGCCACCACCGCGCACATGCGTACCAGTGTCCTCTTCACGTTAGCGGCGGCGTTGGCCGCCGAAACCATCTGTGCCTCTGACCACGACTGCTACCCGAAGGTGTTCGTCCCCACCAACGACTGGCAGGAGATCCGCCCCGGCCAGGACATCCCCCCGGGGCTCCACGTCCGCCTCAACGTCGACACGTTGAAGCGCGAGGCCAAGCTCATGGCCGACGACGATTCCGGCGACGTCAACGCCGTCTACGTCAACCCGGACCACCAGGAACAGGTGGCAATCTACAAGCCCCAGCTCCACGAAAACATTGACTCGTGGCAGGCGGCGGTCGACGAGATCTTGGGCGGGGGCACCCGCCTCGAACCCGCACTCGACATCGTTGCTGACCTCTCCCACGACTTGGAGCACGGCGCCAAGCTTACCCACAACCCCGAGATCTTCCCTAGACTCCTCGTACTTGCCAAGGAACACCCCGACCTCCAGGACTCCATCTACCGCATCATGGCCTCGCTGTTGCGCAACAACCCCGACGCCGTCCAGCAGGCGCTTGATCTGCCTCATAACGACGCCACCGTGTCTGAATTGCTTCGCCAGCTTCCTTCGAGTGACGACACCCTCCAGAAACGCATTTTGGGCGTGGTGCTGCCCCTCACTACTCCCAGCCAGTTGATGGAGTACTACCCTTACTTAGGCCCCGAAGCCCGGCTGCGGTTATTTAACATTCTCGAGGACGACCTGGCGAAGCGGGACCAGGGCCAGGCCCCCGACGAACAGGTGCTGGTATACTTGCAGAAGCGGGTGCCGTTAGTGCCCAAGGACAAGTTCGACAACTACTTGGACGCCCTCATTGACTTGCACAAGAACAACGAGGACCTCAATGCCAACGACGAGTTCCTCACCTGGTTGGCGGACGAGGTGGAGAAGACGAAGGGGGCGAGCCCCGAGATGCACAAGCGCTTGCTTGATGCTCGCCACAACGTGTTTGGTAATCCGATGGCCATGCGCAAGGCCTTAGCTGATGAGTTATAGGTGTATACAAATTAAAGACACTCAGATATAGTTCGGTTGTATTGCGAGGCACTTTCGAATGACTCTGTATTTTCGTATGACTTTGAGTTTCGATTCTCAGCCTCAACAATATCCAATTTTATCGATTACAATTGAACAACAAAACATCTATTCGGAAAGGAAGTGCCAATTTAATCGAAGAGCGACTTCACTTTTGTTATGTAAATTATCTTAATATTGCTGGCTGTGTATTACCTGGTGATGAGTCAGCTGCAGCGGACGCGTCTCACTATATAACGCGTTCTCATAGTACGTCCTTCCCCACAACATGGCCCACAAGACATCGAGAAAGCGACCCCATTCGTCCGTTGCGCTGTGGTTTGAGGGCCAGCGGTTCCTGTCGATCCCTGAATCTTCTCTATTCCCGTTAGTGAAGGCGGAATCGTTCCAGCCAAAACGCTATTGCCGCATCGAAGTGGAAACACTAGCCGAGAGTCAATTGCCCTCTCCTGAGCCGGAACAAGAAAATCATGGGGAAGACTACTTTGATAGTGGGTTTGAGAAACTCCTCGACCAGTTCTTCGGCGGGCCCGTGCCTCAATGGACTCAGAAAGGTGGCGAATCTGTTACAGTTGATTCACGCTTACCGACGCCACCCGCCAGCGATCCAGCTCTGGAGGATGTTGAAGCTCACTCCGAGGAACGGTCCACGTCTAAAGCTAACTATACCACCGCGTTAGTCCTGTCAACGGCGTCGGCGGCGGCCAAATTATCACCGGAATCTGATGCAGCTCGTGAGGTTACTAGTAATATTAATCATGACCAAACCTCACTGAAGGGACCAGCGTCAGTTTCACTTCCTACACCTAACGCTACTACGATTAACGATGATACTGCCGAGGAGAGTCTACTGGAACAGACAAGTGATGACGATGATGAGACTACCAAAAATGATTCGGTGGTGATTGCTCTACCCAAACCAACGGAGATGTCTACGACTACAACCGATGATGAACCGGCTAACTCTCCACCACTCTTTAGCATTACGCCGCAAACACCCACTACCACCCCTACTGCCAATGATCCGTCATTGTTGGCAGAAGACTCTGAGGAAGAAGACGTCGACCCCGACGTATCGATCAAACGCCACCGAGAGACGGGTGTGCTCGTGTGTTGCGAGGGCCATGCCCCGATGGCGATACTTCATCATCGGATCAGCTACCATTTACTGACGTTTCACCCCCGGGCCACCTGCTCCGACGAGCGCCGAAAGAAGATCCGCAACCTCCTCAGAACCTGTCACCTAACCGAAGCTCCGACTGTCATTCAGACTAAGATCCCCGCTATCCCCATTGAAGAGAAGAAGTACTGCTATACCTGTCACACAGTGTCTCTGTCTCCGCAGTGTTACGACCACCCTAAGGAGACCGTGATGTGTCAGATGTTCCCCAGTAAAGACGCCGCGATCATTGGGCGTGTGCCCGAACTGCCGAGTAAGATTCAGCGTCATACTTCATTTATAAAGAAGTCGGCGCCAACTCAGAAGCCGGCACAAACTGAAAAGCCGGCGCTTACTAAAAAACCAGCGCCTACTGAGAAGCAAGCACAAACTCCGCGAACTAAAAAGCCGAAGCAAACTAAGAAGCCAGTGCAATCTGAATCGCCAGTGAAATCTGAGTTGCCAGTGCAAATTGACAAGCTGACAACAATCGAGAAGCCAGTGCAAACCCAGAAGCCGGTACAGACTCAAGGTGAGAAGTTGGCGCTGACTAAGGAGCCGGCACAACAGCTGAAGTGCAATGCGTGCCACGATGGTCACCGTCCAACGCATCTACGCAAAGAGTCGCCATACTATTCTGACTGGCTGACAGTGAGACCCAAGAAGAAGCGGAAGCCTGTTAGTACGCTCCAGTTAATGAAACTGTGGGGGATGATGTGAGCGCATATAATGGTTGGTGGCACGGCCGATACATCAATTGGGCATCCACAGCACGACTTTCCTTGAACGTCAGAGCCTGGTCGCTGCACTGTCTGCATACCTCTAATCCTGCCATACCTTAAAAGGGGATTGAGGACGGTTAACATAAAATTGTGTCCTTTTGAGTGTTGATTCACTGAAGTTCAAATGATACAAAATTACCGCTGAAACGGAGTAAATACAGGCTCAAGCTGAAAGCATGTCTGCTTGACCAATTCGAAACAAGTGAGGTTAAAGTTTAAGATTACGATTAACCTTTCGGTGACGGCATGGGTCACGGCAGTCCTGGTAAGCAGCGCCGGTATCCGTCACGGAAGCGAGGATATATAATGCTGGCGATGGTATTGGTATGACTAGCATGTCATCGGCTCCTGGGGCTTTTGTCTTCCTTCAAGGGACTACTCCCACTGACTACCTTGTCAAGCCATATTTTCTCACCAATGGTTTTGAAGGGCTTACCACAGATATCCTTAACTACATTGAGTTAAACGACGATATGTTCCACAGCTTCATCGATCGTGCCACCACCGCCATCAAGCTTGAAAACATCAGTCAAGAGTATAACGATGCCTTCGTCGATCCCCCCGCCGCCGTGACCGAGTTTGAAGACGCCTGCCATGCTTTAGGTGGCAGAGTCGTGCAAGAAATTCTGCGTAATTGTGCCACAATGAGTACTTTTGCAGAGGTTTACATTAAGAAATTGTTGTTGATCTTTAGTGAGATCCTTGAGATGAAAACCCGCGAATACGTGCACAATTGCTCTCTTCTCTTGGACCTATTGCCCCAGCGTGGCCAAACTGACGATGCGACCAAAGTGGCCGTGTTCCGGCGGTTTCACCGCTTGACGTGCCGGAGGCTCGTGTCGGAAGCGCTTGCCAAACTCGTGAAACAAGTCCAGAATGCCGCCAAGCACACGGCTGACCGGGCGAAACTGTTACCGGCGTTACCGTTTGACGTCCACGACTACGCCCAGCGGTACCGGGACGAGATTCGCCGGGGCACCGCGGTATGGTTCGGCACCATCTTCTCCAGTATTGCCAGTGAACAGCACAATTTCATGGCGCGCTACGATATGGCGCTTGATAGCATTTTCAACCGCATTAACCACCCTCAGGGTGTCTAACGAGTATGTACTAATTTGTACAATTAATGAGACAAAATTAATACAAGCCAAATATTTGAAGTTTTCACTTTGGTAATCGATGAGAATCCGTGTCCTATGTAATGATGGAGACTCAGCTCGGTAGGTAGTTATATATGTTCGTCCTAAGCAGGTCTCCAACATAGTGATATCAGACTCATATCGGGAGGGATTCTCTTTGCAAGGTACGATAAGCCGAGCTTAATAAAAGTGACTAAATTCCACGAATAGACATTCTACAGTATTGTTTTTGGGTTGATAATGTTTTTATGCTATATGCTATGCCACGTTTTTCTCCTCCAGCTCCTCGGGCCCGAACGGCGAGAACTCCAGACGGATGTCGTGTTTCCACAACGACAGCGACAACGTGCGCCCGTGGTTGTTGCCCCTGGCGTCGTCCAGCGCCCAGATGTTCAGGTTTGAGCCCACCAGCAGCAGCAAGTTGAGCGCCAGGTCGTTCCACAACGGCGGCACCGGCGTCAGCGACACCAGCGCCGGCGGCGAGAGCGCCGGGTTGGCGAGGTGCGGCAGCGCGTACCCGTAGAGCAACGAGTGGTAGTCGAGTTGCAGGTAGAGCGGGGCGCTGCCATTGGTGGCAATCGCCGGCTGGTACTGGAGACTGAGAAGGTCGGGGTCCAAATGGATCGGGTCCGCCGCCTCGGGCACCGGTTGGGCGAGCGGGGGCGAGAACATTGGGGTTGCCGCCGTCGCCACCGGCGCTACTGGCGCCATCGTCAGGCCCATCGACATCGCCGGCGCGAGGGGCATCATTGTTTGTGTAGCCGATACCAGGCGTCCGTGGGTGGCCATCGGCGCCATGTCGGCGCCGAAAGTGATCTCGGGCGCCAGCGGCGCCAGCGGCGGCGCCGGCAGTACGTTCTCAGGGGCATAGACCCACTCGTAGTGGTTGTGGAATGACGGCTGCGGCGCTGCCACTGACGGCTGCGCTGGCGGCGCCAGACGGTCGCTAGTGACGTCGGGCAGCTGAGGCCGAGTGTAACGTTTCTTGGGGAGCGCGTCGCCAAACTCGACGCTGGCGGAGTACTCCGACACCCGCTGCGGGGTGTAGGCCGGGTTGCGGGCGTGGCGTGCCATCTCCAACAGCTGGTGGATGGCGACGTACTTCTTGACTTCCTGGCGGTAGATGCGGCGCCACTTGTCCTCCTCGTGCGCTAGCTGCGCCCAGTGCAGCGCGAGGTCGTCGTCGGCGGCGGTGACGGCGCCCCAGTCGTTCTGCTCGACCAGCTTGCGGAGGTGGGCCGCCTGCTGCGTCGCCGCCCGCTTGTCGGCGTTCAATTGTTTAATGTGGGCGTCGGCGGCCTCGATCGCCTGTTTCGTCTTGTCGATGTCCTGCTGGAGCAGCTGGCGCTGGTCGTTGAGCTTGCGCTGCTCGTTGGCCTCGTGGCCCAAGAGCTGCGCCGTCAGCTTGCGCATCTTCTCGGCGCGGTCCTTGACGTCGCTCACTTTCTTCTCGTGAAGTCTCATCGTATTATGGATCTGGGTGAGCTGGAATTTGAGCTTGGACTTGGCAAACAGCAACTCGTTCTTGCGCTTCTCCAACAGCTTGATGTCCATGTCTTTTTTCATCTTGATGTCGTTCTCTTCTTCCACTTGCGCCTTGTACTTTTGGAGCGTCTGCTCGAGGTCGGCCATCTCCGCCGCCAGCTGTTTGTGCACTGCTTCAAGTTCGGCGGCGAGCTTAGTGAGCTCTCCCTGGGACTGGTCCAACTGGCGCTGGAGGGCGCCGGCCTCGGTGATCAGCTTGATGTGTTCCGTCTGCGACGGCGGCACCAGCGCCATCTCCAGCAGCGCCGCGAGCGGGAGCGCCTGCGACAGCGCCGCCAGCGCGATGGCGCGGTCGATGTGCGCCTCGTCGACCAGGGGCTCCACGTACACGGGGACCAGCTTCAGCCGGAACTGGGAGATCAGGTTCACCGCCACCACCTCGATGCACACCACCTGGTGGGCGGGGAGGTTGTTCAAGCGGCACTGGGTCTTGCCCGCGACTTTAGCGACCTCCTGGCCGTCGAGCATCACCACGTAGTAGAAGTCGCCCGGCGCCACCTCCCAGTGGAGGACGACGCCCGTGGGGCCGATGACGTCGATCACGACCACGGGGACGGGCGGGAGGTGGAGCCCGAGCTGGTGGGGGTCGAGGGGACCCCAGAGAAGCCGGACAAGCCGGTACGCCAACCACGTAACCGCGAGCGCCGTGGTCGCCCACTCGATCATCCCGCTGTTGCTTTAAAAAACTTCCTAGCGCGAAAAATCTGGAGGGCGCCTTTGACGTGAACCGACAGGTACCAGCGCGACAACCACCGAAAATAGCAACACCAGCGATAAATACAACAAATGATAATTGATAAGTATATTGTAAGTTTTATAATTATTTTAGTGGGACTAAAATTAAGTGGTTATAGCAAGTGGTTGAGGGGCACTGTCGCCGGGTAATGGTCGTCCCCCCCAGGAGTTTATGTGTAGGAAAAAAACGGTCGAGACTAAAGGCGTAGTAGCCCCACGAAACTCTACTACTAGTACTATGAGTTATGGGTTAGTGACATTTATGATTTGATTAGAGTCACGTGATACTTAGACAGACGCTTATAATCAACGAAAACCGAGAATATTGTATGGTGTTCTGTGTAACTCGCTAGACATCGTGTGACTTTGTTCGAACGAGGCTTAGCGATGTGCAGCTTCAGGGGAAACCTTGGCCAGGGAAAATAGCCTACTAATATGAAAGGAAAATGAAATAGACGTGTATAGATCAAACAAATGGACAGCCACTGAGGTATGGGGGCGTTCATAAACCGAGATTAGAGCTCATCTTGTGACCATTGATAAAATACTGATGAACATACTAGGAAGATGGGCCTATATACAGTGATGGATTGACCGTCTTCATTGTCCTAGAACACAAATATGAGAGTCATTGTCTATATACTAAATCGTAAGTTGTCGTGGTCTATGCAATCAGGGGCGGGGGTTGCCTCTTAGCCACCATAACCGCCTGAACTGCCATGGCCAAGTAGAACACGCCAATCACCACAAATGGTGCCAGCGCCAACCCATCACTGAGCCACCCGCCAACAAACGAAATCACGAGGATCCCCATATTGCCGCAAAACGTATAGAACCCCAGCAACGTCCCAATCACCTGGGCCTCCTGCGTTTCTTGGACAAAGTCCGAAGTCTGATTGCCGATCTTCGCCAACATACTCATCAGCGATATGATCACCCCAAGCTGGGCGCACCCCAAGAGCGATACCATGACAAACGCCGCCACCAGCTTCGGCAGCGACACGAGGGTGACAAACCCGAGCGAGCCGGCGATGCCAATACCACCGCATACTCCCATCACCGTCGCTGGAGGCAATTTATCAGTGATATAACCCCAAAACGGAGAACTGATCAAAGCCACCATCTGACTGACTCCGGTCAAAATCGCCAGGAATTTAAACCCCTGAGCACAATTGAACCGGTCCAACGGCTGGTCTACACGGCACTCGCCGTGGTCCAGGTACCACTTATAGACAAACAACGGGATAAACACCAGGTTGGCCACCAGGGCCAGCCGCAGCACAAACCCGCCGAGCAACGCCAATTGCGCTCGACGATCACCTTTAGAGGCAGTGTAGCCTCGCTTGACTCGTTGCCAGTACAGGAGTTCCGGGTGGCCTGGTTGCGGGTTCAGTTTAGGCCCAATGGCCGCGGTGATCACCAACGAGGCCAACGCCCAAACGGCAACTACCAGGTACGCCACCGCCACCGCTTTCAGCTCAGCGTAGTCGAACCAGTGGCTGAGACGCGTTGGTAGCGTGGTAAATGCCAGTACGGCGAAAATCGCCCCTAATCCCAGCGACATGCCGACAACGGCAGCAAACTTACCCAGATGACCGGTACCGGAAATCAGAGCAATATGGTTGAGAAACACCGTCAGCATCGTAAGTACCAGCGTGATACCGGCAGCAAATAATCCCCGAACGAGGTAGAGCACCACCCACGGGTGCGACCAGCGAGAGTACGCTAAAAGCGCCATGGCCACAAGCGCAAACCCCGCCACCTGAATAAGCCGTGGTTGGCGGCCTCCGTCGACAAGACTACCGACATAGGGAGCCACCGCCATCGCCACAACCTCGTCAAACGTCCCCAAACTGCCCACGGTTCGCCCCACAGTATCGGGGTCGATCCCCGCCACCAATTTGAGGTAGAACGGCTGGGTCAGCGTGAGGAACACAATGATGGCAATGCCAGCAAACAGCGTGAACACCACCGTGGATAATGGCTGGGAGACCGCCAGCACCAGCAGCGTCACCAGATCAAAGAGCATTCGGGGTACAATTTTATTGCTGCACTGATATGTATGGATAAGACGCACTATGAGACCGATCTCGGCTGGGGAAAAATTAGGAAATGGCACGCCGCGGACTCGAAGCATGCGATCTCATCTAAAAAAAGAAATATGAAAAAAAAAAAAAAACAACAGCGAATGACAGATTTGTACTGGGACGCATTAGGGATGTCGCAGGCACAGACACGTACGTCGACTCAGCGGCACATTTCCGGAAAAGCCCCTCTAAACGCCGGGACGGAGTCACTCAGGCGTGTCGCCCTGTTCCGTCGCCACCAAAACAGACGGCTGGGGCTGTAACGGCGTCCCACGTGACCCGTGAGCTCATCGCCGCTACGTCATACCGCTCACTTGCTTACAGGAAATCCACATTTGCTACGGGAGATCACCCCCCCTCTCTCCCCTGTTCCGTAGGGTTCTTTGCCAAGACGTCTCCTCGCCCGATCCAGCAATAAGGAGGCCATTTGAATCATATCCGAAAGCACTAGCCGCGCGTGATTTATGTGTGCGAGATTTGCACCGTGCTTCGGGTATTTCCCGGATGTCGACTGCGAACGACGAAGCCGCACCGAAGCTTGCGGTCCCCCACGCCGATCCATTTACAGGGCCAAGAAGGGACTAATGATATGTACAACAGTTGCTACCTGATAACGGGTGAAAATAATTACCCCACCCCTGTAACAACCCACCACGAGGGCTGAGCGTCACTAGATGTCTTATGCTTACCCGCCCAAGTCCGAGGCGGATATGCTCGCGGCTGGGCTGGGCTGGGTCCCCCCCACGTCAAACACCTCAGCCTCGCCATCCGTGTTGCCATATCCGCAATATTCCTGCAGATCGAGCCGCGCCATTTTATGCACGGTTGACGCAGGCTATAGCCATCCGGGAACAGATAGTATATATACGTGTTTGGCATGCTCTCAAACATATTGTTATCAGTCACATTAATTCTCCCCACATGGCCTTGACAAGACTGTCAACCCACAACTCGTCTTCGACGTTGGACGCCGCTGAATACCATCCGCAAGAACTCAATGCCTCCGACCTCAACACCGATGCCCGGTCGCTGGTGTCGCTCTCGCTGGCAGAGGACTTTGACGGCACTTCTGCCAAACTCAAGGTCACCCGTACCGAGACGGTGAAGTCGCTTGCTGAGCTCGGGGTGCTGCGAGATATCCCGGTGCCGGACATTAATGCCCCCCCGGTGACCGACCCCATTTTCCCGGAAGAATACACCCTCGAAACCGAAACTGGCTTGGTGCCAGTCCAAACCCTCCAGTCGATGGGGCGGGTCAAACTGAGGGTGACCCGGCGCCGGTCGCAGATCCTCGCTCAGGAAGCCGACCTGGATTTCGACCCGGCGAAGATCGCCCAATTGGAAAAGGAAGAAAGCGAGGAAATGAGCGCTAAGATCAACAAGCTTGAAGAGCTTGATCCTGAGATCCAGTTCGTCACTTTCACTCCTGGTGACCCTGAAAACCCTCACAACTGGAACTCCACCTTACGCTGGATATACACGATTATCCTCTCCATTCTCGTCATTTGTGCTGCTTACGGGTCGTCGCTGATTGCCCTGGGTTTGTTTTTGATCAATGAAAAATTCCACGTTTCTGAAGAAGTGTCGACGCTCGCCTGTTCGTTGATGGTGCTTGGTTTCGCGGTTGGCCCTTTGATCTGGGCTCCTTTATCTGAACAGATCGGCAGACGCCCCGTGTACATCATTTCGTTTGGTCTCTACGTCATCTTCAACATCCCCGTCGCCTTAGCGCCCAACATCGGGACCGTGCTCGTGTGTCGTTTCCTCTGTGGCGTGTTTTCGGCCCTGGCGCTTACCAACGTCGGTGCCTCGCTTGTCGATATCCACAACGAGACGCGGTCGTTGGCCATCGCCTTCTTCTCATTCGCTCCCTACTCGGGTCCCGTGTTTGGCGGTGTCGTCAACGGGTTCATCTCCGTCGACTCCGGCCGCTACGACTTGATGGTGTGGGTGAACATGGCCTTCGCCGGGGTGATGTGGATCATCGTGGCGTTGATCCCCGAGACCTACGCCCCCGTCATCCTTAAGAAGCGGGCCAAGCGTCTCCGTAAGGAAACCGGTAACCCCAAGATCATGACCGAACAAGAAGCCACTCCCTTGTCGGTGAAGGAACTTATCAATGACTGCTTGGTGCGCCCGTTGAAATTCGTCGTCACCGAACCCATTCTTGTCCTTGTTTGTGGTTTTGTCGCTTTGATTTACTCGTTGCTTTACGCCTTCTTCTTTGCTTACCCCGTCATTTTCGGCGAATTGTACGGTTTCAAAGATGACAAGGTCGGGCTCATGTACATCCCCATTCTTATCGGGGCCGGGTTAGCCTTGACCACCACCCCGATCTTGGAGAAGAAGTACGCCGCTCTCGTCAAACGCCGCAAGCCCGAACCCGAAGACCGGTTGGTCGGCGCCATGTTGGGGTCGCCTTTCCCCTGTATCTCGTTGTTCATCTTGGGGGCGACTCTGTACAAGCACATCATTTGGGTCGGACCGGCGTCGTCGGGGATCGCCTTCGGCTACGGGATGGTGTTGATTTACTACTCGTTGAACAATTACATCATCGACACTTACGCCAAGTACGCCGCCCTGGCGTTGGCGACCAAGGTGTTCTTGAGATCCGGCGGTGGTGCCGCCTTCCCCTTATTCACCACGCAAATGTACCACCGGTTGGGTTTGCAGTGGGCGTCGTGGTTGTTGGCGTTCATCTCCTTGGCCATGATCGCCATCCCCTTCAGCTTCTATAAGTTTGGCAAGCAGTTGAGAGCCAAGTGGTGTAAGGAAGACTACACCGTTGGCATTTAAATACCGGGATCACCCACTTAATAGATAATAATACATTCGATTGGAATTTGGTAGTACCCCCGGAGCAAACGGGTTTATTGTGCTAACGGGGCTGTTGGGTGTCTCATTTAACCGAGAAGCATTTTGTACCGATAGTCGAGGTCTTGGCATCACCACAACAGTTGTACTCTTGTTGACAAATGGCCAGTAAACCGAGGCATTCGGCGACCTAGCAAGCCACGAGCAAGCCGGAACATCCGATAGTAGTGTTTGCTCGCGATTGGCCGTCGACGTCCACGCACCCGCCGGCCAGGCGGAGGCGATTGTTGTATTGTTCCCTTTTTGTGTCAAATTAATCCGAAGATGTGTGGTGGTGGCATAAGTACCACCATCCAGACACCGCTGTGTTCGAGCGATGTGTTTGGGTATTTTAAGTGTCATTCTTGGTCCTATGAAACGACAAGGGTTTTTTTTCCTTAATTTGATTCACTCACTCAGATGACCATTGATCTCGCTCAAATGCTATCGAAGCACGTTAGCGCGTCGCACAAATTACTAACTAGACCCCTATGTACCGTACATATCCAGGAACCCTCAAGTACATACGAGATAACGTAACCACCTTCCCGTATTGACAAGTCAATACTCAGAGCCACAATTGCATCCCACGTGCAATAAAGGCTAGACCGTTGGAATTGTTGTATTGTGGAGTTGCAAATGGGATCTCATTTGTGGCTTTACGAACTCTAAAGGGTTTTAGCTTTCAACAACTACTTTCAACCTCCAGACACGTGAACGCAAACATTACATACAAGCGAGACATAAGCGCAACTCGTCGACCTACTCGTTGTCTAGTTTTCTATCACAGGCCGAATACGCTTCTCAGTAGTCCTCGGGGAAAGGCTGGGTGCTGCCCGGCGCAGTGCGATGCCATAACCCGCGGATAGTTCCTTTGCATCTAGCTATATGCGCGACGGCGTAATGGAAGCCATCAATCTACTCACCACAATATCGGCTGGGCCCCGTGTGGCCGCGAAGTAGAGAAATCATATAGTTTCTATATTTGTTCTTTCTAGTGGTGTCTTGGCTACATTCCCCAGTGTCGTTCGATGTCTGCATGTTAGTAATGTGTCCAGCGAAACTCGTACGAGTTTAGCCATGACTAATCCCCCTATTTAGCCTCGTCCAACCATGGTGGCAGTTGGTCCATAGCCCGCCACTGGCGTTGTCAGCCAAGCTCACGTGAAAATGGCGCGAACCGCGGGCTGCCAATTTTTTAGCATCGGGGCCTGCACCGCGAACTATCGTTAATTCCGTCATTTGTCGATAAAAAATAGAAGCCGGCCGGTGTCGGCCCAAGTTCGTTCACTTGTTTCCCGTTGAACGGCGGGTATCTCTTATCTTTTATCACATCAGTAAGACTGACGTAGCACTGGTGACGACACTTCTTGAGTAATCCTTATCGCGCTCGATAGATGTGAAATTCAATTGTCACTGGGCCGAGCGTGTACCGATTATCCCGAGTCTGCGGCTGTAAGTTACCACTGACGCATTTGTGTCTCATCACAATATCGTGATTGGGTCGTATTTACAATTTATCCTTGGAGTGTCGATGTACGCGTCGTGTGATGTTGGATATTAGCCTCAGGCCAACCTTTGCAAGTGTAGTAGATTGGTTGTAAACCACTGCCGTTTCCTTCCCTACGTTTTACGTCAACGGTGAATATCTCCGGCTTAGCAACTGCACGGTGGTAACGGTTGCTTGTTCATCGACTATACCACTAAGCCTTCATTCCAGCGTCATTAGTATTCTCATCGTCAAAACGCACCCGATTGTTCACTGCGTCAAAATAATATCCAGCTCCGTATCAGACATCTTATCTATTACTAAAGGGAAATCTTTTACGACTGTCCCCACACTTACACTGGTATACAAGTGGGATTAACCAAAGCATGCTATGTTCACAAGCCATAGACGAAACCTTTCCCCTGATCGAAAAATCAGAAACAAGAAAAAAAAAATATTTTGAACTTAGTTGAGGCTTTAAACCGTTTAGCCCTCGCTGCGTATTGCGCATATTTAAGCGATCGCAACGCAAAACCGCTTAATTCTAACGAGAGGTACTCGAAGGACAATAGAATACGATGGCTATTGTCAAACAACGTAATAGTCGGCCACGATATCGACTCATCCTGAAATTGGGACCTCCTTCGGGATTGAGAATTGCCACAATTATGAGTATAAATAGGCCAGGATAATTCAGTATATTTCATCATTAAAACATGAAGTTCACTACCCTTTTGACCATTGCCTTCGGGATCTCGCAAGTCTCTTGCCTTCCTATTGCCAACGCTGATGTTGTCGCCAGAGACCAACAACCTGGTTTGATTCAAGGTGTTGATGACTTGGTTCAAGGTTTGGAAAACGAAATTAACCATTTGTTGTCTATCAAGAACTCGAAGCGTGATGACCAACCCGACTTAATCCAAGGTGTCGACGACTTGGTCAAGGGCTTGGAAAACGAGATCAACCACTTGTTGTCCATCAGCTCCAAGCGCGATGACCAGCCTGGATTGATTCCTGGCGTCGATGCTTTGCTTCTTGGTTTGGAAAACGAGATCAACCATTTGTTGTCCATCAAAACCTCGAAGCGTGACGACCAGCCTGGCTTAATCCAAGGTGTCGACGCTTTGCTTGTCGGTTTGGAAAACGAGATCAACCATTTGTTGTCCATCAAAACTTCTAAGCGTGACGACCTGCCTGACTTGATTCAAGGCGTTGATGACTTGGTCAAGGGTTTGGAAAACGAGGTGAACCACTTGTTGTCTATCAGTTCGAAACGTGATGATCAACCTGATTTGATTCAAGGTGTTGATGACCTAGTTAAAGGCTTGGAAAACGAAATCAACCACTTATTATCCATCAGCTCGAAGCGCGACGACCAACCTGACTTAATCCAAGGCGTTGACGACTTGGTGAAAGGCTTAGAGAATGAAGTGAACCACTTGTTGTCTATCAGCTCGAAGCGTGACACCCAACCTGGTTTAATTCCTGGTGTCCAAGATATCCTTGCTGGTTTGGAAAACGCTATCAACCTGTTGTTGGGTGTCGCAACCAAGCGTGACGATCAACCTGACTTGATTCAAGGTGTCGACACCTTGGTCCAAGGCTTGGAAAATGAGATTAACCACTTATTGTCTATCAGCTCCAAGCGCGACGACCAACCCGGTTTGATTGAAGGTGTGGACGACTTGGTCAAGGGTTTGGAAAATGAAATCAACCACTTGTTGAGCATCAAGGCTTCGGCCTAATTAATCTTTCAGCAGCTTTGATAGTTGTATATCGTGTTTAGAAATTGATACCATAATATTCCAACGATCACTTGTGTCAGTATGCTTATGCAACTGATTTGTTTGCAATAATGACTGCCTTGAGGTGTTGAGAACGTTTTGATAGTTGGGGTTTCGCTTTTGTGTGCATGTTAAGTTTTTGTGCGCTGTCCCCTATAAGTTATCAATTTCCGCTACCGGAGTTGCGAAGTGACAAACTCCGAGCATGGGGACACGTGATTGCTACTCTCGAATTAATTCTACACACACACTGATTTGTGGCTACACTTATATTAAAGTCATAATCATTTCCTATCACATCATCATAGATCGCTTAATCGACTTCTTCCACCGAGGGGCCTTCGGAGGCACCACCAGCGGCACCACCGGGAGCACCGCCGGGCATGCCACCAGGCACACCACCGGCACCGGCGCCACCGTAGACCTTGGTCATGATGGGGTTGGCCACCAGTTCCAATTCCTTTTGGCGGTCGGCGTATTCTTCCTTGGTGGCGGCTTGGGCACCGTCCAACCACGAGATGGTTTCGTCAATGGCCTTTTCGAGGGTCTGCTTGTCGCCAGCGTCAATCTTGTCCTTCAATTCGCCGTCGTTGATGGTGTTCTTCAACGAGTAAGCGTAGGATTCAAGACCGTTCTTGGCACCGACTCTAGCGGCTTCGGCTTCGTCTTCTTCCTTGTACTTTTCGGCTTCAGCCACCATCCGTTCGATTTCCTCTGGCGAGAGTCTACCCTTGTCGTTGGTAATGGTAATCTTTTGAGTCTTACCGGTACCCTTTTCCAAGGCGGAGACGTTCAAGATCCCGTTAGCGTCCATGTCGAAGGTGACTTCAACTTGAGGCACACCTCTGGGGGCGGGGGGGATACCCGACAATTCGAACTTACCAAGCAAGTTGTTGTCCTTGGTCTTAGCTCTTTCACCTTCGAACACTTGGATCAACACACCGGGTTGGTTGTCAGCGTAAGTGGAGAAGGTTTCGGTCTTCTTGGTGGGGATGGTTGAGTTTCTGGGGATCAAAGTGGTCATGATACCACCAGCGGTTTCGATACCAAGCGACAAGGGGGCGACGTCCAACAACAACAAGTCTTGGGTCAGCGACGAGGTGTCACCGGTCAAGATGGCGGCTTGCACAGCGGCACCGTAGGCGACGGCTTCGTCGGGGTTGATCGACTTGTTGGGTTCCTTACCGTTGAAGAAGTCAGTGACCAACTTTTGGATCTTGGGGATTCTGGTGGAACCACCGACAAGGACAATTTCGTTGACTTGCGACTTGTCGATCTTCGAGTCCTTCAACACCTTTTCCACGGGTTCCATGGTGGCTCTGAACAAGTCACCACACAATTCTTCGAATCTGGCTCTGGTGATCGAAGTGTAGAAGTCGATACCTTCGTACAACGAGTCGATTTCGATCGAGGTCTGGGCCGACAGCGACAAGGTTCTCTTGGCCCGTTCACAGGCGGTTCTCAATCTTCTCAACGCTCTCTGGTTGGTGGAGATGTCCTTGCCGTTCTTGCGCTTGAACTCTTGGATGAAGTGGTTGACCAAACGGTTGTCGAAATCTTCACCACCCAAGTGGGTGTCACCGGCGGTGGCCTTGACTTCGAAGATCCCGTCTTCGATAGCCAACAACGAAACATCGAAAGTACCACCACCAAGGTCAAAGATCAACACGTTCTGTTCACCCTTGGTGTTGCCCTTCTTGTCCAAACCGTAGGCAATGGCAGCAGCAGTGGGTTCGTTAATGATTCTCAACACGTTAAGACCAGCAATCAAACCAGCGTCCTTGGTGGCTTGTCTTTGCGAGTCGTTAAAGTAAGCGGGGACAGTGACGACGGCGTCAGACACCTTACCGCCAATGAAGGCTTCAGCGGTCTCCTTCATCTTGCCCAACACCATCGACGAGATTTCTTCAGGGGAGAACACCTTGGTTTCGCCCTTGTACTCAACCTGAATGGCGGGCTTGCCGGCCTTGTTGATGACCTTGAAGGGGAAGTGCTTAGCGTCGTTTTGCACTTCGGGGTCGTCAAACTTACGCCCAATCAACCGCTTGGCGTCGAACACGGTGTTGGCCGGGTTCATGGCGGCCTGGTTCTTGGCGGCATCACCGATCAATCTTTCGGTGTCGGTGAAGGCGACGAACGACGGGGTGGTTCTGTTACCTTGGTCGTTGGCAATGATGTCACATCTGTCGTTGGCAAAACGGGCGACACACGAGTAGGTGGTCCCCAAATCGATACCGACGGCTTTGCTCATAGTGAAGAATTAGTGGGTGGGGAGATATATTCAGGGGCAAGGGTGTTTATATAGTTGCTCTCGACACAAGCCGACACCTCCCGAAGTTGCCGTATTTGGGCGGGGGGAATCCGATGGAAGCCGGCAGAAGCTGTGCGGAAGTGTCGGGATCGCAAGCCAGGTAAGGCGCGGAGGCCACGGGCCCCCGGCGGTAGACGACAGCCTTATTTGTGGCAAGTAGTGTCTAGGTGGTATAGGCGGTCAATTGACCCGTTTTGCTGTGTTTTTAAAGCAACAATTGGTGGTGGAGACGGGGTCCTAGCTTAAAATCTTCGCCACCGCAATACGACGCAATTTTACCCCCGTACACACAGTATGGGCCCACGCCCAGCCACCGCCGGTTGCTAGGCAGCAAGTGACGCGATTTTTCACTGGTGCCGATTCGTGGAGATGGCTTAAGTAGATCAATCTTGCCCATTTGGGGTGGGGTGGCGGTGGTGGCGAAGGTCCGGACCCCTCTCCCCGATGACGCGAGTGTCGGAATCGTCGGAAGTGTCGGTACGAGTCGTCTGCGACGCGGACTCTCGACGTCAATATATGCGTGGAAGGCCACCAAATGCCTACAGATATGTACTTGTGGGATGATCTGAGAGTCAATGGCAAGATTAATCGTCTCCTGAGGGATTTAGTCGAGGATCGGTGGACCCCGGCTTTCGCTGGCGGAGTGTGATCGTGGCGAGAGATAGGGGATGGAGACCGATGGAATGTCGATGACGTCATCGGTCTAGAGTTGCGCAGTTGTCCAAGGGGCGGAGTGCTCCGGCTAGTGCGGGAAATGGTGGGGAAGACACCAGCTAAAGACTAACGGTGTCGTCAGTACTGACTAGAATTGTGTAACCCTGACATTGATAAAGAAGAATTTTCGAAGTTTTAGTGGGGTAGCCACAAGTGAAAAATCTGAAAAATTTCGGCTTAATTACTTACAGATGGGCCCGATTCATAGCAAACGATGTCACGTGAGTGAGTTCGCATCGAAGGTTATGGAAGCTTCCATTGACGACGAAGTAGTAATGTATTACGTCATGATCTGTAACTCCACATGAGGTAGGTAGGATCAACGGGTAGTGCTAGCGAGGTCGTGTCAATGAAGAATTACGAAGATTTGAATGCCTCGATACCAACGACGTAATGAAGAACTGTTGAAGTTGAATGGATTCGAGGCGATCTTAGAGTTTATGAACGTAACGAGTTTTGACAAAACGGCTCTACGGGGTTTGAACCCGTACGGGCCCAACAGGGACATCAACTCAAGCAGAAAGTCTTACGACAGCGATCAAAGAACACATGTCAAAATAAACCATTGATGTTAGGCACTTCGATCGGTTTTGGTACCACAACTGGTAGATTATCAGGTGTGGTGTGGGAGTTATGCTGAAAATTCGAAATTATAGCGAATGCACACACGAAGTTTACCTGGAATGTGCAGTGAAATTTATCGAAGAACAGAGCACGTGGAATGAAGGCACTCTACAGTGACCCTCTTTATTTGTATTCCGAAGATTTAACACTCAATTGCATGGCTTTGTTTCGCCATATGAGAGCACACAAAGGACAATCAGATGTAGAGTATTGTTCATACGGTGGATGCGATAAATTAATGTGTGTTGTGTAATTCATATCAATGGAGCTGGATTTCATTCTTCATGAAATTGAGCGTTGAATGATATCATGGTGCGGATGCTGGTGGCGAGCCGTTTTCAAAACAATGCCCCGTAGTCAGTGTATATTGAGCAAATTGAGTCGCCATAGATGACTCAGACTGATGTTAGAGTGCTGTTTCCATTCCTTTGAAAGGCTTGGATGGCCGTCAACTTCATTCGCTGACAAGTAGTCTAAGACTGATTCAAATAAAACATGAGGTTACATTTTCCTTGAAGGCTTCCATGTTTTGAATGGAGGTCGTGTGCTGAGGGGGTGGTTGCCATTGCAACTGAACGTTCCGGGTGTTTACCATTTGCCTTTGGGCGTCCTCGTATTAGTCAGTGTGTACTAACCTTCCCAATGGAGTTGAGCGCCTAGGAGCGATTATTCTCTCGGAGAATTGAAGGCGGAAACACGTACGCAAGCACACGGACAAATGCAACCACTGCTGATGTTGCTTGCATAAACTTTAACATTGTAAGCTGTCGTTCATTACCATACTGTTGAAGGACACTTCAACGTGTAAACAGGCCTGAGCTGTCAGTAACGATGTTGACAAGAAAACACGCTCTGAGAATTTTATATTGTGATTGTCGTAGATCGCTAGGCAAAACTATAATTGGTGGTGGTTGCCGGGTGCTACTGGTTGCAACATTTTGAGTCCATTTGAAAGTGACGCAATAATATGTCGGCATTTCACAATTACAATGCAATCATGTGACCTGTAATCGAGCTATTTTCGTGTACCAATACGGCACGGTCCAGCGGATTTCACTGTGGATGACACTATCCACCCACCGCGAGCTATTGTAACGCCGGCAATTGCTTTTTGTGCATTATTCACGCTAGCATCGTCAAGCTCTGTGCGGTGGTTGGCGTCGGCGCACTCGGTGGCTGGTGGCGAAGCTTATGCCCCAGCTTTCTCACGGTGACGCTTATCGGCAATACTAGGAGTGGGAGCAGGAGCCCCGGAGCTTCCGTGCAGTAGATTTATCTGATCGCCGACACCAGCGGCTAATGAATCTAGCGGAAGATGAACGAGATAAGAATTCCACTTCGACTCGTTTTCTTTTTTTTATTAGGGTGTTTCTCGTTTGCCAAATGGTTAAAAATAGATATCCCACGGGGCCCGTGGCACAATGTTGGCGGTGGGGAGACATGTGGTGTCTAGTAGCCTCAGTCTTGGCGGTAGGGGGGATTTTTACCGCAGCTTGCTGCCCTTCCCCTCGATACCCCAATGGGGTATGTAACGCTGCTTACAGTAAACCTTGAAGGTTAGAGCCACAAAAATGCCAGGAAAAATATTTTCCCACTAGTGCTACACTGGTAAATTCAAAGAATCGAACAATCATTATTAGCTTGGGACATCAAGCCCGTATATGGTAAATATCTAGATTTACAACAACATACCGACGATGGCGGCAATGGCGGCACCACCGTAGATCGAGCCCTTGACGGCCCCGTTACCTTCAGTAACTTGAGGAGGAGCTCTCGATTCACCTTCCAACGATTGGTTGGGTTTGGGTTGTTGTTCACCTTGGCCTTGTTGAGGAGCTTCGGTAGGCTTTTGTTCACCAGCTTCGGTCTTTTGGGGACCTTGTTGTTGGCCGGCTTCGGTTTGTTGAGGACCGTGTTGTTGGCCTTCTTCAGTCTTTTGGGGACCTTGTTCTTGGGCACCTTCAGTGGGCTTGGGGCCGGGGGGACCGACGGTGACGGTTTCTTCGCCAACGTGTTGTTCCTGGTAGTCGGTGGGGACAACACAAGGACCGTAGACGGTGATGGTACCGGGTTCACACACGGTTTCGGTGGGGTGGCACACCTTGTCACACTTGGTGATGGTGACGGTGGTGGTTTCGGGGCAGTAGAACACAATGTCGGTGACGGTCTTGTCCTTGATGATGGTTTGAGTCGCGTTCTTGTGGCCTTCAAAGAAGGATTGTTCCGACGAGTTGAGGTAGGAGAGATCGTTGGTGTACGAGGTGCTTTCAGCCGAGGCCGAGTCCGAGGAGATGTACGTGATCAAGTCGCCGGTCGAGGTGGAGCCTTCAGACGAAGCCGATTCTTCGGAGGAGGCAGAGGCCGATACACTAGCCGAGGGCGAAACTTCAGCCGAGGCCGATTCCGACGACGATTCCGAGGCCGATTCGGGAGCAACAGAGCCCGATTCTTCAGCCGAGGGCGAAGCTTCGGCGGAAGGAGAAGATTCAGCAGAAGGCGAGGCTTCAGCGGAGGCCAGGGGAGAGGCTTCGGCCGAGGGCGAAGCTTCAGCCGAAGGGGAGGCTTCAGCAGAGGCCGAAGGAGAAGCTTCAGCCGAGGGAGAAGCTTCAGCCGAGGGCGAGGCTTCGGCAGAAGCCGAAGGAGAGGCCTCAGCAGAAGGAGAGGCTTCAGCCGAAGGAGAGGCTTCAGCCGAAGGGGAGGCCTCAGCCGAAGGAGAGGCTTCAGCCGAAGGGGAGGCCTCAGCCGAAGGCGAAGCTTCAGCGGGGGCAGAAGTTTCAGCGGGGGCGGCCGAGTCCGACGAAACGGCGTCCGAGGAGGCGGCGGCGGTGAAAGCGGCCAAAGCGATCGACAAGAGAACCTTTCTTTGCATAGTAAAACGAGGACAGGTGGGGAAAGAAAAGCTGGGTCGGGGCAGCGGGAGAATTTATAGCTTTCTGGCGGTCAAGGCGGCACACAATATCTCACCCCAAAGGGGCCGGGCATATTCACTATGACGTTCTGAGCCCGAATCGTACTTCAGCTGGTACCCTAAATAGCAGGGGTTCATAATTGTTTGGTTGCTATAATTAACTTTGAGGAAACCGGAAGGCTGGTAAATTGCAAAAGTATCGCCTAATACCTGAAGAAGGACAGTGAAAAGTTGCTCAGCATTGCTACCATATTGCCACTAGTGGCATCCGGAGTCCCCGAGTCCTTGGTGGCGTCAGCGACGGCGGGGCCCCGGTGCCTGGTGTCGGCGTCATAAGTGGATGCTACCCCACGCAAACACTTAGCCTCGCAGATAATTATTTGTGCATCTCTGAAAAATACGCCCTGCATGGACACAATCCCAAAAGAAAAAGGAGGTGTGAGGCGATTTTGTTTTTTTTTGGTGCACCGATGTTTGCTCAGAGCGAAAAACCAAGTTACTCCGAGCGCTCATGAGTCAGGCCGGGACGAAGGCGTTGACGATAGTCGCGGTGCTGGTGCTCGCGTGGTACCTGGGGATGAAGTTCTGGAAGCCCATCATCATGTAAGTGTCGTCGTTTCACCGGGGTGTTGCCCTCCGTGTTTTGTGTCTCTGCTACTAACTGTGCCTCTAGCGAAAAGCTTCGCGAAGAAGGGCGGCTCCGTGACGATGTCAACACCGAGTACGACGCCCCGCCCACCAGCTGGAACGACTTAAAGGGGAAGGTGTCCGAGCTGATACACGGCGACGACGCCCCCAAACCCCGCTCATAACTCGCTGGGGAGGTAGTCTACTGTGTATAGCTTGTTTTCAATAAACACGACGCTGACCAAAGCAACCAGCGTGGTGTGCTGGGTGGGGCCATTCCTTTGCCATCCGAATTATGAGCACTTGCCGCACAAACACCACCACCGGCCAAAGGGCCCCTCCTCCCCTCATCCGCTGAGGTTGTTGAGGCTGAGCCCTGCTAGCGTGGCGGCTAAGTTAAACTTTTGGGTCGTACGTTTGTGGTGATTTCTTCAATGGTATTATTGCCTGTGATAGTAGAATCTTTTCGCTTGATCGACTAGTGGGCTAAGCCCCACTCGCTAGCATTGGCAGCGGGTTGGTAATCGCCAATAATGGTGTGGGGCCATCTGATTACCGGTAGCGAGCCCTGAGGCGTATATTGCTGCGTTCTGCCGTGCGCTCCTTTGTGGATCGTCCGGGTGAGGCGACGAGGGTGGCCCGGGAAGCAACCCATGCGCCCCCCTACCAGGGAAGCCTCAGGCCCTGCACGGGGTTAGCGTGAGAGCATTTTCCGAGCCCTCCTTCGAAGGGTTTACTCACTAATTACCCTCGCCCGATCGAGGCTTATTTCCGTAGCGCTTGTTGTTTGTGGGGCAATACCGAGATAGTGCGGGCGCCCCCGAATGGTGAGATGATGGTTAGCAAACGTCGTCAATTGCCTCCCCGAAAACGACGTGGGCTCCCGAGCCGTTAGCGATAACTATTCTCGCAAACGAGGGGACACCACATGTCAACAATCGGGGGTTTGTGACCCCCCAGTCAAGCTGGTGGTTATATCCTGCGACCGAGGCTGGGTACAACGTCAACATAAACAAACATACAACCCAGCCCACGTGTAACGGCGGAAATATCAGTAGCAGCGTCTGCCAGCTTGTGGCAGCACTCAGGTGGGTGGCTGCCACAGAAAACGATGCTAGTTAGGCCCCACGGGGTGCTACTGAAGCCAGTGAAACCACCACCATTCGGCTTTGTGATCAATAGCTCCTGTAATACTATTCCTGCATATAAGAACACCCTATTTCGACTCCTGATAGTACCTTTTTCATCAGATCCGCGAACCCCTGGTCATCGCGGCGCGCTACTTCCATTAAACCTCTTCCTATTACCACACGACATCACCAGCCATGGGTAAGGTGAAAAAGTCCAAGAAAAATCCCCGATCCCGGGTCAACCCGTTAAAAAAGAAACCGGAAACCGCGGCGCCAGTCGCCGATGAAGGCAAGTCCCAGGTGCTCCCCTTAATCAATAAGCTTAAGCTGGCGGACGCGAAGGAGAAGGCGATGGCCATCGGCACCCTCAATATTCTTGCCGAAAACCCTCAGATGAGAAAGTTGCTTTTGAAAGAACGGATTGTCGCTACCGTGATGGAGTACGCCCTCAACGATAACCTGAGAGAGGTCGTGGTGGAGCTGTTTGGTCTCTTGCGCAATTTGGCCATCGAGGAGGGATACGACGTCGTCAAATACATGTGGCGCCAGAACGTGTGGGCACTGTTGCAAGCAGCATTTGAAGCGATTGCCGCTCAGTTCGCTAGCGGGTGGGATGACCTCGCTGGTCCCGAAAAGGCCTTGGTATACGATTGGTGCGAAAACGTATTGCTGTTAGTAGTGGTGATGGCCACCACCGACGAAGTGATTTTTGAACTGGTGTTTAATAAGATTGACCCGCTTCTCCAGTTTGTTTACACGGCGTTATCTCAGAAACAGCTGCCGCGGTTAGTGCATGCCGGGCTCGATTTCATCTACGAGTTCCTTAGTGAATCGACTCAGTTTGTCGACTTGGTGTCGTCGCAAGCGGAAAAGCTTCCTCTTGCTAACCTTGACGCCCAGGGAGACCGTCTTACCGGAGTATACGTTGACGGTATCAAATACAACTTTACCAGTCTGCCTGACGACTACGCCCGCATCCTCTTGTCGCTCTACGATACCTGTTCGCTGGTGGACCTTGAAGGGATCATCAAGCTTCTCCAGTCGACGGAGCCGATCTCGGCCGACACTGACCTGGCCACCCATGCTAAAGCACAAGCGGAAGCTAGAGCTGATTTGAGAGCGTTGGAAGTGCTGCTAGACCTCATCACACTGATATTGGAAGGGCTTTCGATTAATGAACGCAAGTTCAACGCCCCCGTCAAGCTCTCCGACGACTTATTGCAAAATGTGCTCTTCGCTAAAGTGTGGCCGATGATCACCGAAATCGTTAAATTTGAGCTCAATCACGACGGGTCGCTTTATCTTTTGAACCGGGCGCTCTATGCGATGAACAACTTCTGCTGGTTGATGCTTGCTAATCAGAAACTCCCCGTCCAGTGGTTTGAACACAGTAATGCTGGCTGGGACCTTGTTGACGCCGTGGTGCAAAAGGCGTCGCTGCAGCTGGCCAATGACTTACAGAAGACTACGCTTCTGATCATGTGGGGTATCTCTAAGGCTCAAGGCCCGCAGATTAAGAATAAATTGCGCCGGGAGTTTGTCGACTCCTTGATCACTACCGTGGGGACGATTAACCACGAAGACGACGACCAGGTCGATCTCAAGCTTGCCATCATGGGTTTCCTCGCCTCGGTGGCGCCTCAGCTTGAAGACATCACCTTAATTGGCGCTGTCGGTAACTTCTTGATGCAAACCGCGGAGACGATGCTGACTCCCGTCAACGCCAATTGTACCCGGTTAACCATTGAAGCGCTTAATTTGATCTACGACCTTTTCGGCGATAAGGAGTACCCTTACGACCAGCCGGTGTTCGTGGCGCAAGGCTACTTGCCCCGTCTCGAAGCGCTCGAGCCTCAGGTGAAGGTGATGTTCAAGAAGGTTGATCGCAATAAGTTTAACCAGCTCAAGGTCGAGGCGGAAGAGGCCTGGGTCAACTTGGGCCGGTTCATCGAGTACAAGCACGACGAGCAGAAATAGTTCTTATAGACGGTATTAATGGAATAGGGATGCATTGGCAAATAGGAAAAGTGTGTATATAGTCGCGAGGGGGAGTAATGTGGCGGCAACCGTTTTCTATCACAATTAATTTACCCAATCTAGCGACTATATGCCACCCCGCCTCACCCGTTATTAAGCCCCGGCAAACGCCGTACACACAAGTGTGGGCCATTGTATGAACACGATTATCTCAGAAAACTGATAAGTAGACGGCACGGCAAATTTTACTAAGGGTTAATTTGGTTACATTGAGGGCTCATGATATAACCACTTTTCGTTTAATACAACCACCCTCGTGGTCAACGCTACGAGTCACAAGAAATCGCAATAAAAGTAAACCCTATCAAAGCCTCAAAGCCACCCTCCCTGATCACGCTTTCGTTTGCTAAGGCGGAGCTGACGACCGCCTTTAGCGTCGTTGTCAGCAAAGTCCCGTTGGTGACTCATTTTATAAGTGTCTCTCTAGACGACGCCACCGTTCACGTGCACCCCTCCCCCAACCACAAAGACACGTCTTTCCAGCGTAGACGAAGCTGACAAAGCTGAAGGTGCCACTACCGGCTTCGGGGCCACAGCCCCATTGCCATGGCGACCCCCGACCGGGCGAATACGGTTGGTGAATCCCCGGGTGCACGTTGGTTTGCACCACATGAAACTTCTTGGCTCGGATCAGTGGCAGCCAACTGAGGATAGGGACGGTTTAATTAACGGAATGATTGCTTAGGAGAGTGTATTCTACATAGAAACGAAAGGAGAGACCTCGTGTCTGGTTATTTCCGTTTCGGTAATATTTATCGTTTCATGTGGTCTCATTTTCACCGTGCTCGTTAATTTATGCCAGCGCAGGTCTAGCCTTTCTTTATGCAGACGGGCTACACCTCGCACGCGGGCACCCACCGAGGCGGGCCTAAGAAAATCGTAACGGTTATAACGTATATATTTGCTAATTATATCTCTGGAATCGCGGACGCTCCCCATAGCTGATGGACGATGGCGTACTCGACTAAACTGGTACTGGACTCGATGAATTCGCTCTCGCTCAACGCCGTCGAGGTGCCCAAGGCCCACCGCCCCGTGCCTCGTACCCCGAGGTCGACGCCGGTGCAGGCCGAGAGCTACATGGCGAGGCCTCAGAGCCAGTTGGCGGAGCTGGTGAAGCAGGCGTTCGAACGCGGCCGCCGCAACGGCAAATAACGGACTTCGTTGGAGCTATTGCTGGAAGAAAGCGTGGGTCAAAAGCTCGTCGGGGGTGGCTCGTTCCGCCGCCTCCCACGTCAACATGCGGGCCAAAAGCAGCACAAACGGGTGCGTTGGTGGCAATTGCACCAGCGCTGCCACTGGCCGAGCGTGCGGTTTGAAATGGCGCTTAGTCGCCGGTGCGTTCGCCAAGTACTGAGCAAAGATCCCTTGGTTCAACCGGCCCTGGCCGTCAAATATCTTAAATAAAAGCGTGCGTTTAAGCTGGCGGTCATTGACCAACCCTGCCTGGGAAAACAGCTGTTCGGGGTTAAACGCCAGCTTCTGCACCAGCCGCTGAAGCAGCCGCCGGTACCCGATGATGGTGCCGGGGCGGGGCGGGCCTAAAAGCTCCAAGATGAGCCCACACTGCTCGACCTCGCTTTTGCCCGCAAGCAACGGGTACCCTGTATACATCTCTGCCAATACACAGCCAATGCTCCACATGTCGATCGCGGGCCCGTAGGTGGCGCCCAAGATCACCTCCGGCGCCCGGTAGTACCTCAGCTGGATGTAGGTGAACGAGATCTCGTCGCGCGGACACAGCGTGCCGAAATCAATGAGTTTCACGGTGAAGTCACTGCCTTCAGAACCAAGACGGAGCATGATGTTTTCGGGCTTGATATCGCAGTGGATGATCAGATTCTTGTGGATAAATTGCACCCCCAGAATGAGCTGGTGGGCGAGGTCGCGGATAAGCGGGAGCGCAAGCCCTCGGAACTCAATCATCTCGAGAAGCAGGTATAAGTTCACCAGGAGCAACTCGGTGACAATGCACATGTGGGAGCGGAAGTTGAAGTGGTCGATGTAGGCCAAGATGTGGTCCAGAGGCAGGTCGTGGCTGCCGAGCTGTTTCAAGGTTTTGATCTCCCTCACCAGCTGAAGCAGCCATTGGAGATCATTTTTGATGATCTTGATCGCCACGTACCGAGGAGGAGCGGTGATCTTATGGTCGCGAGCCATCACTACGGTGCCAAACAGCCCCGTGCCGAGGGTCAGGCATATCTCGTAGCGGTAGTCGATGTGGTCGCCGGGCCTGATGATGTAGTTGCCGCCAATGTCGTCAAACCCGTAGTTCAAACTCTCAGTGTTATCCCTCACGGGGGCACCGTGGCGGGCAGTGGGTATATAGTAGATCAGTTTGCACCGTAAGAGCTCCCCCCTCTCGTAGATGGTTAGCTGGTGGCTATCGACGTTAGCCTCGTGCGGTTTTAGAGGAGTTTTCATCTCTAGCGTCGCTTCATGGGAGGTATCGATGACGTCACGGTCGAACTTGGCGAATACTCGAGTGAGATCACTGACTTTCTGCGACGGACCCGAGGGAATTCGAGTGGGGCGACTCGCCGGAGGAGTTACCGGAGGACGGGCCTGTTGAGGCATGGGTCTTGTTCTCAGCGGAGGGCCTGGGTATAAGCGTGAGAACACGTCCTGGGAGGCGAATGCCACAGCGGCGTGGCCCATAGCGGGTATCGACCGGCTCTTAGTGAGTTTTCTGGGGGATACCGGCTGGTGGAGCTGAGTTTTGGGGGCATTATTGGTATCTTTGGCCGCCCTCGGCTCGGCGAGAAGCCGGAGCGGGTGGCGGGGCTGGGACGGCAGGCGAGCCCGCGGGGTGGCCGCCAGCGGCACGGTCTTGGGCTCGGTGCGTTTGCGCTTGTAGTCGACCTTCTTCTGGAGCAGCAGCGTCGTCGCCCGCATGAAGTTGTAGTTGGTCGACTCCAGCAAGGGGCCGCCGGCGGCGCCTGGCGGGACCTGCTTCCCCTGGGCGAGGTTTATTCGCAGAAACAGGTCTTGCAAGTCCATTGCCAGTGGGGTATAGGCCACCAGATGAGGGTTGAAGGGGCACGGGTGGTCGCTAGCAGTCGCAGGCGAGTTTGCGCACCCAGTGGGCCCGGATAGGGGCAGCGGGTGGGGCATGCCAGAGACGGGAATGGGGCCAAATTGGAGGGAAAATTGATGGTATTTCGTGAGTGAAAGGGTCAGAGGGATAGGGGTATCAAGTGAGACAATTATAGTGAGGTTTGACGGTTGTTTTGGTGGCGGTTGAAGCCTGGTAGTGGCGGTGGTTAGGGGTGCGAGTTGTTTTGTGTGCGAAATGGCCCGATACGGGCCACAGGGGGTAATTGTGCTTAGAAGGTTTCAAGAGTGCATACGGTCACAAGAAGGGTTCAAAGGAGGCAGTCATAGGAATATTTTGGAGGATGATAGCTATGGTTGGTATATTGTTATGAATGATGTAGTTTAAAATGTTAGAAAAAATGAGTCGAGGCGTGGGTGTGATTTTCAAATGGTGGAGTTGTTCTTCTAGCTTGTAGTGGCCAATACTATGGTAACTCCAGAAATGATGGTGTGTTTTCAATTTTGGTGGTCGACACAAAAATTGGAGATGAAACGGAGGCATTATAGCAGATTAGTGTTTGACTACAATTTGTAGTGAATTCTATCCTTTATTCGAGAGTTAGTCGACTACGTTAGTTCTCACGACAACAGTCGCGGCGCGCTCACGGTCACCGGGATGGATCTGCGCAACACCCTACTACTTGCCCAGATTCTCCACAGCAATGGGGTGTTAACGGTGGACCAGCTTAAGATCGCTCAGGACGCCGATGTCAACGTGTGGATCTACCGGTTGGGCCACCACAAGAGCAACCAGCTTAATGGCGAGCCGATTGAAGGAATAGCCACGAAAGATGATCTCGTCGAGTTGTTTGAACGGGAATTGAGTGAGTGGGAAGTATCGACGCTGGAGGAGTTAGCCAATAAAGCTTACTTCAAGCGCATTGAAGAGCTTGAAGCCAAGATCTCTCTGAATCAAGAGGAGTTCACGCGATTGTTGTCATAAACCAGGAGGAATCTTTCCATCAAATTGATATACCAAACACATCAGTTGAGGATGACACGCATCAGGTGATAAGAGCACTATATGTTAAACTTGGTACCATTATTATTATCATAGCATACAGCACCGATATTAGTGAGATCGCCACCAGAGTCGCACCAGTCTAATAAAGACATAGAAGTAGAACCACTTAGCTAATCAATAGAACCAATCATCCTAATAATCAAATATGAGTATCACTCCACTGGTCTATCCATGTCAAAAGTTCACAGCTTTTCTGTAAGTTTGTTCAGCCTTGCCTTCCCCGGTTCCATCGCTAGCTTTCGCACTGGAAATTCGCCACCCTACCAACCACCCTATGACCAAGGACGACGACACCAAGGCGGCTGCCGCAAAGGCACCGGCGTCCAAGGCACCCGTGCACGATGCCAAGAAAGCGGCCCCTGAGGAGGAGCTCAACGAAGAGGACCAGCAGCTCAAGGACGAGCTCGAGCTGTTGGTGGAGCTGCTCTTGGACCCGCTGGCGACGGCGAACCTGGCGGCGCTGGCGACGATTGACAAGTTGAAAAAGCTCATCCAGGAGCTGACGACACTGATGACGGCTGTCCCTAAACCCCTCAAGTTTTTGCGCCCGTTCTACCCGCAATTGATCGAGGTCTACGACAAGTGGGCCGCCTCCGACGCCAAGGACGCGGTTGTGGTGAGCTTGGCCGACATGTTGTCGGTGATTGCCACCACTTACTCCGAAGGCCACGACTCGCTCAAGTACCGGCTTTTGAGTAATTTGGACGATATCGCTACCTGGGGCCACGAATACATGCGCCACTTAGCCCTTGAAATCGGCGAATCTTATCAAGAAATGCTTGGCGACGACGAGTACATCAACCGCTTGGTCCACTTGGGTCTCGAGATTGTCCCGTTCTTCTTAAAACACAACGCTGAGGCCGATGCCGTCGACTTGTTGCTTGAGCTTGAAGTGATTGACAAGTTGCCTCAATTCGTCGACGAGTCCACCTTCTCGAGAGTGTGTTTGTACATGGTGCTGTGCGTGCCTCTCCTCTCACCTCCCGACGATAAGGCGTTCTTGAACACCGCCTACCAGATCTACTTGGCCCACAAGCAATGGACTCAGGCGATCACCCTCGCCATCAAATTGGGCGACCACGATAAGATGCGCGAGGTGTTTGACTCGACCAAGGACGAGAACGTCCACCGCCAGTTGGGGTTCATTTTGTCACAGGAAAACATCCACTATTTCCACTACCACGGTGAGCTGGCCGAAGTCTCCGAAGCCATCGCCAACACCAAATTGACCGAATACTACCACTACTTGGTCAAAGAACTCAATCTCTTGGACCCTAAGGTCCCCGAAGACATCTACAAGCTGCACCTTGAGAACAACAAGTTTGGCCTCGCGGCGCTGGGCACCATCGACCTGGCCAAGCAAAACTTAGCGGCTGCCTTCGTTAACATGTTCATCAACTTGGGCTATGGTAGCGATAAGTTGGTGCAGACTGAAGAGGACAACAAGCTGTGGATCTACAAGACTAAAGGTGCGGGCATGGTGTCGACCACCGCCCTGCTTGGTGCCATCTACCAATGGAACATCCAGGAAGGTTTGCAAGTGCTTGACAAATACACCTACTCGCTGGAACCGGAGATCAAGGCCGGCGCCTTGCTTGGTACTGGGGTGGTGCTGACCAACGTCCACGACGAAGTTGACGCCGCCTACGCCCTTTTGCAAGAATACGTCAACGACCCGAACAAGTTGTTGCAGTCGCTGGCCATCATTGGGTTAGGGATTGCCTTCGCCGGCCTGGCCAATGAAGACGTGTTGCAATTGCTTTTGCCATTAGTCAGCGACACCGATATCAACTTTGAGATTCTGTCGTTGGCGGCGTTGGCCTTAGGTCACACTTTCGTCGGATCGTGCCACGGTGACATTACGCTGACGATCTTGCAAACATTGTTGGAGCGTGATCTGAGCCAGCTTAATAACAAGTTCTTCAAGCTTTTGGCGTTGGGGTTGGGGCTTCTCTACATGGGCACCAACGCCGACCTGGTGGAAGACGTGTTGGAAACCATCGACGCCATCGAACACCCGATCGCCAAAACCTTAAAGGTGTTGGTAAACATCTGTGCTTACGCCGGTACCGGTAACGTGTTGCAGATCCAGACGTTGTTGCAAATGTGCACCGCTAAGCCTAAGCGGGAGAAGGAAGCCAAGGAGGACAAGGAAGAGGTTGACCCTAAGGGAGAAGTCCAGGACAAAGACGGCGACATTGTTATGCAAGACGCTCCCGCCGCCACCGCTCCCACTGACGCCATGGACGTCGAACCGGAAACCACCGAGGCTGCTGAAGCTAAAGACGCTCTCGATGGCGGCGAAGGTGAAGGCGACGACGATGTTGCTGATGACGCTACTGATGACGAAGACGACGAAGAGCTCTACCAGGGTATTGCCGTGCTCGGGTTGGCGCTTATTGCCATGGGCGAGGACATCGGCCAGGACATGGTGTTGCGTCACTTCTCCCACCTTATGCACTACGGCAACTCGCTCATCAAGCGCACGGTGCCGTTGGCGATGGGGCTCGTGCTGGCGCTGAACCCGCAAATGAAGGTGTTTGACACGCTTTCGCGTTACTCGCACGACCCCGACTTGGAGGTGGCGCAAAACGCCATCTACTCGATGGGGTTGGTCGGGGCCGGGACCAACAATGCCCGGTTGGCGCAGTTGTTGCGCCAGCTTGCCAGCTACTACATCAAGCTGCCAGACTCGTTGTTCATGGTGCGGATAGCCCAAGGGTTGTTGCACATGGGTAAGGGTGTACTTACCCTCAACCCGTTCAACGCCGAGCGGCTGATCTTGTCGAAGTTGTCGTTGGCGTCGTTGCTCACGTTGCTGGTGACGTTGTTGGACCCGAAGCTGTTTGTGTTGCTGGAACTGCAGGGCTCGGTGCTGCACCAGATGTTGTACTTCTTGTGCCCCGCGATCAAGCCGCGGATGTTAATCACTGTCGACGAAGACTTACAGCCGATTAAGGTCAACGTGAGAGTGGGTCAGCTGGTGGACGTCGTCGGTCAAGCCGGTAAGCCTAAGACGATTACCGGGTGGGTCACTCAGCTGACGCCGGTGTTGTTGAACTACGGCGAACGGGCCGAGTTGGAAAATGACGAGTATATCAGTTTGAGTCACTCGTTGGAAGGCGTGGTGATCTTGTTGAAGAACCCCGACAGCGAAGAAGCCGCCTAGGAGGCTCTTGGGTTCAAATAAATAGTAATGTGACACATCAGTCTAGATTAAAGCGAGTCAACTATGGGGAAGATAACTCTTTAGCTTAGCTCCATTCAACTATCGCGAGCAAAAAGACAACGTCGGATCGAAAAAAAAAAAAAGTTTTCTACAGTTTAAGATTTGCAAAATCAGGAAAATGTAGAAAGGAGATGTTCTTCAAGTAAGTGGTGATACTGACTTTTTTGTGTTTGATGTAGACAGGCTGGTGGTCTATTGTAAAGGATACTTAGGAAGTAGTTTAACTCATGATTATGACTTTTGATTGTAACGTGACGGTATATACTGTTTTAATCCTTGGCTCCGAGGAAGATGGTTGCACTGAGGCACAACACCATGACGATGATGCCGTAGATGGCCAACGCCAAGCCACCGAATTTACAGAACCGCTCTAGCTTTGTGAGCTGGGTGGCGTCGCCGAGGGGTTTGATCAATAAGTAACCAAACATCCCCGGGAGAATAAATGAAATCAGCGTAGAGCCTGTAGAACCGACGATGGCGAGCACGTGAGCTAAGTTTTGTACTGAGATCGCCACCAAATAGGCACCAATGACGATCACGGCAGTAATGGCATAGAACTTTTTATTTGTGAGTTTGACGATGATGGCGTCGTGACCATCAGTATCGTGAGCGCCTTCCATCGGCGTAGTAGAAACAAACAGCTCGTTATGGAGCAGTTCATTAGTTGACAGGTCGGCCACCGAGTGGACCAGCTCCATATCCAGATTGAGCTGGGCGTAGCCATGACGAGCACCGTGCCTGAGCTTAGTGTTGATGCCGTCGGTGATATAGAAGATCACGTGATTAAGCAGTCCCCGACACGGGTGGCACTGTAGCGGGAACGAAAGCGCCACCATGACCACGATACAGATCTGGCCGATCAACGAGAACACCAGCGAGCTCGGGTACATCGTGATGATGTTGGCGTTGACGGTGTTGCCAAACGTTAAGTAGCCGATGACCCCGACGATGATATACAGCACACACGCGGTACTGATGGCGTTGCGGATGATCAAGTTCAGCTGGCGCGTTTGCGACCCGTGGGTGTCGCTTGGCTTTAGCTCGTTGATGATGGCAAACATGTTTTGGTGGCAAGTGTACGCGAACACGAAGATGGGGAACAGCGAGAGGGTAAGCGACACCAGCTTAGGGCCGAGGTAGTCGATTTCGAGGTCGGGGACGTCGATGTCGTGGGCGACGTAGTGGCCAACTACTAGGCAAGCCAAGTAGACAATCAGCACCAACGCCACCACCAGGGTGTACTTGAGCGAGTCCAACTTTTTGAGGAACGAGAGCGGGGCGACGACACACACCATAAACACCGAGATCCAGAAGTTACGGTGGAGCACGAGACCGTGCGTCGCCCCCAATTGCGCCATGATCTGGGGCATCAAGTCGCCAATTACCACCAAATACAGCACTCCGACGCCAAAGCATTTGATACTGATGGCCAGGTCAAACAAGATGGAGAAGTGCGGGTAGGTGAGCTGGGCAAGACTAAAATACAGCACGTTGCCGCGCTGGTGGGTGTACTTGGCGACTTTGTTTTGGAGGTAAAGGCCGAACGACAGCGTGAGCGCCGACCACGTGATGAGGACGCACCCGAAGACGATGCCGTTGCACTTGAGCCCGTAGGGCATGGCGAGGATGCCGGCACCGATGATGGTGTTGAGCAAGTTGATCGTGCCCAGCTTGACGGTGGCCGTGCCCATAGTGGAGGGGTGTGAGTAAAGTGAGTGTGAGTGGGGAGTGCGCGCTATACTGTAGTGGCCGATTACATAAGCGATTACATGAGCGATCGGAGATAATTATCACTAAAATCGATAAGCGTCGATTTTGGAATTAAAGCTGTCTATTCATTAGTCATATCTATGCGCTTCTCAACAACACCACGAACCGGGCAAACCCCCACACCAGCAACACGTAGTAGATGATGTTGGCGTACAACGGGCCGTCGACGCTGGCGGGGGGGAACTGGAGCAAATTGCAGAGGAAATGTAGCGCCACACACGTCCACACGTTGTGGTGGTACTTGCGGAAAAAATACGTCAGGAGCATCCCGAACACGGTGGTGTACACCAACTGAAACGCCGCCTGGGCCCACACGATCGTCCACGGCATTTTCGGATGGTGGCGCCGCACCTCCCACGCGTGGTGCAAGTGGGCGAGGCCAAAGAGGAGGGGGCTGGCGTACACCACCACTGGCAGCAGCTTCGCCAAGTAGGTAAGCACCACCGACCGGTAGACGAACTCCTCGGTGAGCGGGGCGAAAATGTGGTCGCGGTACCCCTGAAACGTGAAGAAATTAATGTAGACGTCGTCGATGAATGCGGCCACGTCGAGTTTCAGCTGGTAGAAATAGGCAAAGATGGTGCCGAGGTAGAGGGCGCCAATGGTGCGGATGGCCTTCAACAAGCCCATGACATCAGCGGTGAACGAGTAATTGTTGGTGAACCCGGGGATAAACCCCATCAGCCGCACCAGCGACCGCGCCAGCATCGGCGCCGTCAATGGCACGAGCACCAACCACACGAGACACACCGCCAGGATGCGCTTGATCCGGTGGGCGATGACGCGGGGGTCGTCGCGATCTCGCCGCTTGATCTCGGGCAGCCGGGACCAGTAGATGGCGCCGACGTACAGCAGCCCGGCGAGGGCAGCGAGGAGCGTGGGCAACATTCAGCGCTGTCGTTTGGGTGAAGGGTAGAGAGGGGCTGACTTCAGGGCAGGGTTGTGAAAAAGGCGGGTGGTGGTGCGCGCGCCCACCGGGTCCGGGGCCGTGTGCAGGAAAGCAGTCATCAACGGCAAACCAGTGTATATGGTGGTGGGTAACGCTATTCCGAGGGCATCTAAGCCAAAGTCCCCTAGTTGGGCCGCGACAATCGACCCCCACCCGTGACACCGCATTTGTTAACAGATTTTGAGGTGGCATCAGCTGAGTCGGCGCCAACGTCATGCACTGTTCTCAGCACCGGCCGGCGGCAATGGTCGGAACGAGGCGGGCGCCCTGCGGAGGTATGCGGACCCGCGTATTTGCCACCAGCGACCCAGGGATAAGGGTGGTCGAATTTCTAATTAAATTTAATAAAAACCCTTCAAATGGGCCAATGAATGCCATTGAGATGGTCTAGCATCTGGTTTATATTGATAGTCGGTGGAGTGAGTGGCAATTGCTTACAAAAGCCAACAGGTGACTATTAATCAAAGTGGTAATTGGTGATTACAATTTAAAGTGGTTTGATTGGAATCTGTTTAGACGATGCTTTCAGGCTAAAGCAATGACGGTTGCTCTGCTCGTTGCCACTGCGTCGTATTCGCGGTCACTAGTTGGCAATAATGCAGGCATCGGCAATACGAAGACGTTCTACCTTCGAATCATGTACGATGTCGGTTAGCCGTTGCACCATCTCTACCCGAGAAAAAAGCTAATTTCTCAATTGGGGAAGACAATTTCGAAATGACATTCCCCTCCTCATAGCCCCACATTCTCAGGGGGGCCCCTTACCGGATCGGACATTGCAAATCATTAAGATTGAGGTCGAGAGGCACAAGTGCTTGGCGAGAGTTTTATTTCCATCGCTAAATCCGAATGTGCAGAGGATAAAACTATTACCCATAAGTGATCACGGTGAACACATTCATCACCCGTAGAGTGTGTGTATTCACAATGCTTTTTACTCTATCATAGGGCACTACGAACTGGTATTGTCATGAGATCATTTCTAAAAAAGTCGGGATCATATCCGTAAAATTGTGCGATCTTGTGGTTTTTTCGAATCTCTTAAGCTTTCCCCAAAATCGAGCATTCCTTGTTTTCATTTTCCCCTCTTCTTGCGTTGATCCCAAGTATAGGTTGCGATTTTGGGAAGGGATGAAGTCCAGGTTTGTGGCCTAGGGGGGGT